GGGACACCAGGTAGCATGTCATTCAGCCGTCCTGGGGTGGCATTAGAGCAGCAGTGGTGGTGTTGGTCACAGACACCACGTCAGGCTGTGTTTGGGCTGGTCCCTGCAGCTGTTCCAGGAGTGCAAACCGTGGACACTCTCCTTGGTGAGTCCCATCAGTGCAGGCTGGCAGTCACTGTACCCTTGCGAGCTGGCACCTGTAACCAGCTCGCCCTCTGCATCGGTTCCCCCAGCACACAAGCTGGACTGATTGATGGTTGGCAGTTACAGTTATTTCCCTCTGGGGCCAGCCCAGAACCCAGCCATGCCATTAAATGAGGAGTGTCTTCAAGCTCTGATGGCATATCAAGGGTAACCCTTGTCTGATGAGCAGGTTGTATGGAAAGGAAAACTATGATTATGCTTTGAATCACTGCTGGCTCCTGGAATACTGAATTAATCATTTAAAGTGAATTTCAGACATGTAACGATATGAGGGGCTGGGCAGCAGACTCTGCTCTGTTTTTGTTTGGCCCTTTTTTCTTCTTCAGGGGCAAAGTTTTCAAAAGCGAGTCGGAAGTATTAACAGTTTTTAAGTATGGTATATAAAAAAACCCACCTGTGTCTAGAAAAGACTGTGTGTCATACAAGGCATTATCCTAACAAGTTCCTTATAAGGAGAAATCAATGTCATATCAGTGCCAACTTTCTTCCATTCATTTACTGCAGGGGTGTCCCTCCCTAAGCAGGCTCCTTGCGTTGGTTCCTAGGCAACTCTCATATAATGATACTGCACGTGTGTGTCAGGCATTGATTGCCTTTGGGGCTTTTTTTGTGTAAGTGAACACAAACTAGTCCATTTTCTTTTTCTTTGTGTTCTGCTGAAGTCTCTGAGAGTTTTGAAGGGCGTGTCTGTGACTAACTCGGAAATACTTGCAGACACGTATATATGCATAGCGTCTGATGGTGATCACGCGGGTATCCCTAGGCAAGGCTTACCTCAGCTACTCTGTGGTTTGCTCTTTGGGTTTGGTTTTTTTTTATATCCAAGCTACAGGTGGTGTCTTAGTATTTTGGATGCTTGGTGAATGTATAGTATCATCTAAAGAAGACATAATGAACAACCCCATTTTATCTTGTTTTTACTCTGTGTGAAGGGAAAGAAAAAAAACTGAAGAGGTCTAGTCAATGAAGGGTTCAGCACTACATCAAATCCTCACTGAATTCCTTTCAAGGGATTACTCACTTGAGCAAACGTTTGCAAGGTCTGGCACAGAGGAGATGGGGTTCTTAAATGAAAGTTAATGTATAAAATTATAAGAGAAAGGATGGTGGGTAAATACGGCATTGCAGTGAGACAGGGTAGCTTCTCAGCCCTTCTAAGAGCTCCTCGTTGATCTTGAGCAAGTCAGTTCACCTCTTGTTTTCTATTTGTGAGATGGGAGAGGTGGTATATCTGTCATCCGCTGTTTGTTCATTTCAGGGACCAACAGCATAACTGTGAGCTGCTTTGATTCCCTGCTTGGTGTTTGGAAGCCAGACAGGTACAGCCCACGTGCATGGTACTGAAGCTGTCCTAATAAACCTTGCTAGTCCCAACAGCTTCATCCCAACATAGTCACGCTGGTCAGTCTGTCAACATGTAAGGTTCCTAGGAGACCAATCAAACTGTCTTTCAGATGACATCCTGGACCATCAGTTGATCATCCCTGGGGTTTTTTGTCTGCTTAAGTTGGAAGGTCTTTGAGGCCTCTTTGTGTTGCAGCCCGCTCTTTGGGCACCTGATCTTACCCATGGGCATCTAAATGGTGATGCAGTATAGCAGCAATATACAAGTACAATCAATTGGTTGTGCAGAATATAGACTTACTTGAGCCATAAGCCTATGAAATACATGTGGGAAGCATGAAAACAATTTGCCAGAATTTACAGTTTACCAAATATTTATATTTTTATATATATATATATGTTTCAAATGCCCAGACTTAATGGCAGATACTAACATTGTCATATCCTCAGCATACGAGGAATAATTCTGTGCTTTTAATGTGGAAGAGCTTTTCTTTTGTAACTCGTAATGATAATATTAGGTGTCAGCATTAAATAAGAAGCAATCTGTTTGTAATATTCTAAGAAGGAATATAATTTTGGTATGGTTTTTGGTATCACTGGAAAATTTCTCACCATGAGATTAGGATAGATCAACCAGTTGACATTTCTGGGGTCAGTTAAGACTTGACTGTATTTGATACGCTGAAAAGCAAAACTGAAAAGCAAAACTGTAGATGGCTTGGGGTCATGTAGCTCCATCTCTTTAAAGGGAGTAATTTACCATTTGCCCAAAGGCAGAGCAAGATCAGCCTTGCCCCCCCCCACCCCCCCGCTGCTGACTGAGTTTCTTTAGCAGTGAGGGGATACAAGCACGCAGTGAAGGCTGACCTGGGTATCCTCTCTACTTGTCTCTATGAAGAGCAAGAGGCAGCTTTGTTCTCCAGCTCAGGCCACCGTTCTTCCAGGCTGCTGTTTTGTTGTCATCTGCACCCCACGGCTGGGGCTGGGAGTACATTAGTCTTCACTGGAGAAAGCAGAAAATAGGTCTTCAGAGCAGCAGTCAGGGGTAGGGGCACCAGAATGGACTGAGGATGGTCACGATGGCTGCTGCTACAGTGGACTGTGAGATACGAGGCTGGCTGTTTGCACTGCCTCTGGTTGGTGCCTGACAGTGTGAGGTCCTGGTCAGAGCTTCAGCTATTGCACTAGCTCTCATAAATAACCGTGCAGACATTTCTTCTCTGTCTTTTAGTTCTGAGTGATATGAGAGAAGTTTGTTAATTTTTTCCACTGAGCTTATATCTGAAAAATGAATTCATATTAATTTAAGCACTGTCAATCTTTGTTTTCTCTGCTGATAGCCATTGACTGGGGAGAGCAGGTGTGCTGACTCCTCTCTCATCCTGCTCCATCCATTTCAGCAGCAATTTCTGATAAGTTTTGTCACCTCCATGTGTTCTGTGGAGAAATATTGAATGAGCATAGGGAGTGGCAATGTGAGAGCACAGAATTACACTCCTCATCAATCATTACCCTCTGTCAACTTCCAGGGCACTGTAAATTGCTGACTAACAAGGGAGAATTAGCTTGATAAAATCACCATTAGTGTCAGTTCAGAATTATGTAAAGTTTTAAAGACACTGCTGTCCTCTCTCTCTCCCTCTCATCCATTACTGTGCCTGTTCGTGGAGATCCCAATCCAGCTAAGCACGTAAGCACATGTTTGATTGCAGGCAGATCAGTAATTCCAAGGAAATCACTGGGGTATGAGTCCTAAGCATGTGTTTATGTGCTTCACTGGATCAGGGCCATAACACATACCCTATGAGCACAGAAATGATAAATATCTCTGTGTGAGCCAGTTTCTTGATTCAAAACCAGATTTACACTCCCTAGCTGGACTTAGAAATAATGACAGTCAAGTTTTACTGCAAGAAGGCATAGTAGCTAGTAGATACACAGCATTATACTTAGCCTCTTTAACCTTCCTTTTCTTGCTTGTTATTTGATTTTTAACCGCTTATGCTAGCTAGACATGTGCCTCTATAAACCTCTGCATAGCCTTCTAAAAGCTCTTTGGTTACTAAAATTTAGGTCATGTTTGGACCCATGCATAAAATTTAAAGTGCAGCCAGATCAGAAGCAGTTTTTTAAAAGCTACAGGTGAGATGCAGATGCAGCTAATATAGCTAATTAGCTTATGGACTTCTCTCAGTGTTGTCAGACTGCATGGGAAATACTACAATTTGCCTTATGGCTTCTCAGTGTTTGGAATTTTTTTCTTCATGTTTTCAATTTTTCTTCACAGTCTTGAAGACAAAAACCTTATTTCTAAGGAAAAAAAAAGGCAAGCTCAAAGCAAACAAACAAAAAATCTCACTAAAGGTATAACAGTGGACACTTGGATTCTTGTATAGTCATCTGATGACAATAGCTACAAAAAAGGAAAAATGCGAGGCATTTCAGGACTTCCCCTGATTTGTGTTTCAAAATTGCTCTGGAGTTTGATGTTTTGTTGCTTTTGTTATTAGATTATCCAACTGGAATCTAAGACTCTGTACCTCTAACACTGTCATCCTTTTATTTTTTTACATTTGGTTACAAAGCTGTGGTGACTTACTCATCACTACAGATAGTTACTTGCATTGAAAGGCTGAGAATCTCGAACTGTTTAGTTGTAGCCCACTTCATGATCACTAGGTGTTTCATTGCTCCTCAGCCATTTGGAACTGGGGCTTCATCTGCTGTGATAATACATCCATTGCCTCAGAGTCCCACACAAATAAACCAGTCCTCTTGTTTGAAGTCATAATATCACATTTGAGAACAGAATAGCACATCTTTGAATGACAGAAGATATAATTGTGTTGATCTAGTCTGATCTTCCACAGGACATGGAGCAGAAAATATCACCTACCTCTGTTTCATTTTTTACTTTGTGGAATGATTACTTCTCCTTCTGTTGAAGTGGACTGTACTTTACTCTTCCCAGAGCAGCTGGTCACTGGAATTTCAGTGAGGAAAATGTCATGTCTTGACTGTTGCAAATGCTGAAATATATCTTAATGGAAATGAATATCGTTACTCTTCATTTACAAACCAAACCAGCAAACTTGTCTTTCATAAAACAAAATTGATGTCTATTCTGTGATAGATCTGAATGCTAGTTAATAAGAAGATAAGTATTAAGCCTTCTAAAAATTTCTGTCTATGGAGCAGAAGTGCTGGGACAGATTCTCAGCAACTGCAAATGGATTCAAGTCAACTTATTTTAGTGGTCTTGAGTAGCTTTACACCAGCAGAAGTGTGGGCAACCCAGTGTCTTTTACAACTCCACTCTTGAAATGTAGCAGTCTTTGAGCTACCAGAACCATTTGAAGGAATGTCTACTGCCCACAATCCATGTGAAGTCCATTGCATGCTCCAGTACTATTTTGTCATTCAATTTTGACACTAATTTGTGTTTGCAGGTGTGAAAGCTGTGGTGCTGTCTTCCACTCTGAGTGCAAAGTGAAGGCTGTACCATGCCCCAGGTGTGTGCGTAAAGAGTTGCAGAAGAAGCAGAAATCCTTCTGGAGGCAACTGAATATGGACGAGAACTTTGAAGAGTCTTGCAACATGTTTGAGTTGTCGTATCAGAACACTTGAATTCTTTAAGGCAGTGTCCAGCCGGAAGAGAATTCCCTTTCTCAGCTGCCAGCTCAAGCAACTTCTCAGCTTAGCCAGGCAGAAGTCTTTTTGCAAAATAATATCTGACCTTCTTCATCTGTGAATAGCAGCTGCCAAAGTGGCCATAAAGCCTTGTTGGCTTTGAAATACCAATGGCTAAACTGCATTTTGCATTGAAGTCCAGCCGCTAGCTCTTGTACAAAATGTGGTTTACTTGAAATGCTTTAGGTCTAGCTAATCAAGCACCTAACTTTTTCTTTTCCTCCTCTGGAGAAGGCTTTTCCTCAAGGCAGAAAATATTTGCTGCCATAACCGCATTATTTTGTATGTTTTTCATTTAGAATTGATGAATCATCTACTTATTTATGTGTATTATTTATTTATTATTAGCCTTGACAGAGGTTCTGGTGAGGTGTTTCACAGGAATTATTTTAAACCTACCTGCTCCTTCTGATGTGGACACGTGGTTCCATTTTCTCATGTTTCCAGAGAGCTATTTTTAAAGGATCAGTGCATTTACATGTCACTCCTCCCTGACGAAAGAAAACTTATCTCCCATCAAACCTTATTCAGGGTGCTTCCAAACATAAGATGCAGAATAATTCCTTCAGCTATGTTTATATATTTATACCCACCCCAGTGAACTATTCCATACACAGATAAGCAGGGGACTTGCTACTGGTTTTGTTGCTGGTCAAGCTCTATTGGTCAAGCTCTGTCATTGAAGTCCATTAAGTTTTACACTGGTTATCCTTGATCGATGCAAGGCCATGTCCTCCTCTCCAGTAACATGATGTTGTTTCTGACCTCCTTCTAGTCTCATGTTTTAAGACATTTTAAGTGTCCACATTGGTTTTGTTTCTATTTTGTGAAGCTTACTTTAAATTTTTTCTAACTTGAACCTGTTAGACCGATATTCAGGAAAGTGGTCTTGCCCATGTTAGTTAGAAAATACCTCCAAAATTGTGAAACACTAGTTTGCTGTGTTAATATGCAATTTATGTCCTGTGTTCTCTGTGAGCTCTAAGGGATTTTATGCTTCTGTTGTGACTTCTGTAGTGGAGAGCAAGGTTTCTCAAGGTTCTGCTCCACACACCTGGAACACAGGGAAGTATTAAACATGGTAAATTCCATATATTGTGAAAAGGGGGTACGCGATTGATTTAACTGGGGAGATGTATGTCATTATTGGCAGTATGGTTAATTCATTACAGCTTCACCTCCAGTGAGCACTTGGAGATTCTCCTCGCTCCAGTCCACATTCTTAACTCTTTCTCCAGACCCTGCAGTAGTATGTGTATTACATACATGTGAAAGCATTCACATAGATATATACAGTCACATGCATGTGTATTTTTCCTCTCCTCTCACTCATGTAGGTTTGTGAAAATGCAGATTACTGATCTTTGCTTCCTGTATAATCTCCAGGCTGTTGTATTTAAGGCAGAAAGCAATCTTGATCATTGAAGCTCCTCACTAATTGCTGCAGTATTTTAAATAAAAGAACAGGGTACATCATGCTTACATTAAAAGGTAGAATGCTACAACAGATTGCCTTGTACTGGAGTGTAACTGATTACCTTTTCCAGCCTCCAGTCAAAGAAAATAGCTGAATCTGAGCTTTCTCAAATTTGAGTGCAACTACTATATATATAGAAGCATGTTTATATCTGTATACTTTAGACAACCAGTGCCTTTCTTTTCCAGAAATCTTTCTCACAGTGGGATTCTTTGGAAGGAAGTGAGGGTTTTTCCATGTTCTTGGCAAAGTAGTATAGGGATTCCCATATTTAATAATCCTGATGAATCATTCAACTTTGTCACTAAAATTAATACTTACCTTACACAGGGATGTCTCTGTCTCAGCTCACTGTTCCACATGTGAAATGAGTTGCTTTTGGCTATCATCCTTAAAGATACAATGTTCCTTGCAAGTCCGTTCCCATGTGAAGAATTCCCTGCATGTTCACAAATGCAAACACTGGGGAAGTATTGTGGAATTAGTCATGCAAACAGGAACTGCAGTGGTACTGGCTGAATAAACAGTACGCTCCCATGTTTTTCAGCATGTGTCACCACAACGAGCCCTGTGGCAAAGCCAGTAGCTCTGAAAGTGTCAGAATCTGGCAGGTACTATTTTGAATTAACTCTAGACATAATGGTGGGTCACTAAAAAAAAAAAAAAAAAGGTGGTGTTTTTCTTATCATCATGCTTTGGTATTTAAGATACCTTCCAGCACTGGTTTGTGTCCAGCTTGGTTTAGAAAAGGCTGCTTGTGTGCACTGTCAAAACCCCTACGGAGTCAAGGAATCAAGGTTCAGATATTGCAAACTATTAAGTACTTCAACAGATGTCCTGATCTCCAAAGTACCAGTTGTGTGTGTGGTTAGATATTCTAGTTGAATTCTGGAGTAACAACATAGACAGCATTGGAGTTACTTTGGGTTTGTACACGTATTACAAAACGGTTTTTTTTGCTAATGGAGATTTACATTAAAAAAGAGTATGATGTCAGCAAAACCACTGGAATCAGTCATGGGTCCAGAACCACTGCCATTACTAACAGCAAAGAGCAAAGTGTGTTGTTACAATATGCTGGCAGCATCTAAAGCTTTATGTGAAAGGATACTGTACAATACAGATCACTTTAATTTCTTTAAAATTCAATGTTGTTGTAAACAAGCCAGTTCCTAAAACGGATACACATTAATTTCTACCATGGAAAACTGATACAGCTTCTCACGGTAGCTATAGGAGCGGACTGTAATGTGGAAGATGCTTTCCTCTCAGGGATGCCTAGCTCCTATCCAAAAAAAGTTACTCCATATGAATGGGTAAGATAAAGTCATCTGCCACTGCCTTTCGTAAGCATGATGAAAGGCTTGGTGCTGCCCTCAGAAGGTACTGATGCAGTAGGAACAAGCCCTGTTCACTTTTCAGGACTCCCAAGGCAAAAGAATAAACTGAAACTACTGCTCACATAGCTAACTCTCAAAAGACCCAACTCTAAAAGGACAGTTCTGCTGCAAGAGCCATCTGCTAGCAGGAGACTTGGCCTGGGGTTCTGTAGGTAATTTGGGTTTCAGACAACGCTGTACCCTTGCGTGGTTGTCTCTGCTGTGCTAACGGTGCTGCTTGCTGGTCCCCGCTGCCACTCTTCTTCCCATTCTGCATCCTATAGTCTGCACATGGCTCTGCTTTGCAGACTTCTGGGTGGGCATCAGCTGAAAAAGTACCTGGGGTCTTTCCAGATTGCTCAATTCTCCCCACACACACACAAGTGAAATCGCATATTGGTACTTCTAGTCTCATCCTACCCACATATGAAATAAATTTGAACAATAGCATTTCATTGTGAATCTAGAATTAAACCTGCTGTTTGTGTCCTTCAAAGAGAAGGTGCTTTCATAGCTGACAGATGAGGAATTGATCTGTACATCCAGTTACTGCTTTTGCTTGTACAGAACTTGTAATCGATGTAGAAATAGGGTGCTTCACTGCAGTGGACTATAGCCTGACCCTCTTCAACTACTTATAAAATTCTCATCTCAGTTTAGCTAGTCTGAGATTATTTTAATGTAGTACTCTCTAGAGATCCTTATTCAAGTCTCTCTTCCTCTTTACCCTGACCCTCCGTCTTTCCTCTAATGGGGAGAAAGACTTACCTAGGGGATGCAAACCGCAACTTTTTTTAATATTATCAACCTATAAAAAGAGAAATTTGGATCTCTTATGTAGAAATCTTTCTGTTGTTTTTCTTTTTTTGTCTTTGGTGTTGAAAAATGATGGCTTTGTGATGTGATACAATATCTTGGCTGGCACATACCAATATGAGCTCATTGCTGGGATGGTAGGAATTGGCAGTTGTGAGGGTTTCCTAGATAAGTGAGAGAGGTACTTTTTGGTGAGGAACTTGAGTTTTTCACAATACTCCACAGGCTCTGATGGCCCTGTTAGGAGTGAATCATCAGGGTACCTCTAGAGCTCCTTGTTAAGGCTTCTCTTAATACCAGGATACTGTGTATATTATAATGGATTGGTGATTATGTCCTGAAAGACTTAAAAAAAAAAAAAAAAAAAAGGCAGAGGATGTCTGTTTACAATGAAATGGGGAAGCTGCACAGTTGTATTTTGGTTTTCCCCTGTAGCAATAGAAGCCACCGAGTTTCCCAGGCTTCCCAAGGTCACAGCCTGTATTGCAGCCTACTGTTGATCTGTATAAAAGAAATGTAATCAAGTAATCACCATAATATTCTCTCTTTGCTGCTGCTCAGCTGCAAGCCGTTCTCTCCTCTCTCTCTCTCTCTCACTCACTGTCTCTGTCCCTGTCTTTGCTCACAGTGCTGAGCCTACAGCTAGACTTTGAGCATCATAGCTCATTGTCTTGCTTTTGAACCAGTCGAGTCTGATCATTCTCTCCTTCGTAATTTGCCTTCCAATTTTCCCTTCCCGGTAGGAGTGCCTTACAGTACTGTATATTAGTGTCTATCTTCCTGTTTTGGATTTCCTGATTGAATCTGCTCTTCGATTAACTTGTAGGCTTAAACTGAAACTCTCCTGTGGCTGCACATGCTTTTCTGCAGGAGCAGCTGAGTAAATCAGTTTACTTGTTCTGCCCTCATGCAGTGAGCTCTACAGACTGCATATACCAGCTCTGAAGACACCAAGCTGCATGGAAACCCCTCACTTTTGCTTAATTTGGTGCCTTAAATTTTCAAAAGTGAAGAATTTTGTCAGGAATTATCTGCCATGATGTATGTTTGGCATTGGAGCTTGAAACCCTTGCTCATGGCAGTTTCCATCTTGCTAGGAGTGGTGATCATATAATTTGTTTGCTATCTATGCTTTGAGAGGGAAATATGAGAAAGGATAGCATGGAAATGGCATTTGTTTTTATCACCTATATTTTGGAGACTAACTGGGCTTCTCTTCAGACAGAAATGAGGTTGTGCTTACCTGAGACCTTTAGGACCTGTGC